GTAGGATGCATTTTCCCTATATATATATATATATATATATATATATATATATATATATATATATATATATATATATATATATAGGGTCGCGCTATTCGTCACCCTGGGTGAGAAATTATTATTCCTCACCCCAGTCCATCCCTAGGCCTCAACGTCGCAAGAAAACTTGCATGTGTTGTAAAAAAGTGTGCATGCAAGGGTAAGATTACCAGCGCACCTCCCATGCTAATATGCGTGTCCAAACCCGCTACCCATGATGCTTTTCTGAGAACCACCGGTGTAAGAAAAGTGCATGCCGACGTAAGAAGATTACGTTCTCTAAATAAGGCAAACAAAAAAGTAAGTTCCAGTAAATGAGCTCCGATAATCAGGATTACATTCCATTAAATCAGCTCCAATAGTGAAGATTACATTCCACTAATTCATCTCCGATAACCACTCACGTTATTTTTAAGAGGTTGATAATTACTCACGGTAGAAACTGGCTACTCATGAAAGAAAATTTAAGCCCCAGATAATTCCCTAAAAACAATTTAAGGCCCAGATAAAGTAGGAACACGTTTGACTTATTAACCCTTTTGTATACCACTGGCTTAAGAAATTACGAAGTTTTCTCTCATTTTTTTACGAAGTATAGGAATGCTGACGTGAAACAAGAATATCAGTTACTTCAGCGCTGTTGCTTGCAAATGACTTGAACAAAACTGGGACTTGATGTAAAGTTAAAATGCCGGCGTATACGATAATATCATCAATACATGGTCTAGTAATTTGAATGTAAAATACAACTCAAAAAATAAATGGAATGTAAAATACATTATGCCAGATAAAAATTCTAGGTGACAAATAAATTGTGTCACGGAAGAAATCTAGGCGCCATCATAAAATACGAATCCTGACCCAAAATGCATGTCCTGGTGACTCCAAAAAGCTGGAAACACGAAGTCATCTAAAATAGATGCTGCCACACACACATTTGTCCATAAGAACTACCAGCATGGCCTCATTTGCAAAAAAGAAATTGAGTTAATTTGTGTAACAAACTACATGTGGCAGTCTGAACTATTTCCATTGCACAACGCTTCGGTGATAGACTGCTGATTCCTTTCAAAATGCCTTAGCCAGATAGAACTGCAGAAGCTATGGATTTCTCGTCCCAATGGTGAATAGTTCATATCTGAAATGGTAGCTGTATTCCGTAAGAAGCATCCAAAATAGGATATGGAAAAAATTGACAAGGAGAAAGGCAAAGCATTAGTTAGAAGTTCCGGCTATGTCGCATTGCTTTGTTGTGCATCTTCCCAAAGAAACTTCTTCGGTTTCCTTGCAATGTGCACATCAACAAGTTATGTACGATGATTGTCCGCATAATAATTCGCACCACATGTCGTAAATCAATGTCAGAAAACTAGAAACAGATTAACAGAGCCATGGATGGTAGAGAGAGGAAAAATTATATGCAGCTTCCACAAAGGCATGAGTAGGAAAATACACAATATGAAGAAACATTCGAAATTTGTTACTACAACGAAATGACCTAGTTCTTCCTTTTGACACCAGCTTCAGTTCAGAAAAGAATGACCATGCCACCCACCAAAGCGGGCCATGTTCTACCCAAACTGGGCCTGGAAAAGTATTTGAAATTATAAGTCAATTAGGAAAAAAATTATGTTGTGTCCAAACATGTAAAAGGGTGAATTTTGTTGTGCAAAGTTCAGTATTTTGTGAACTTCCTTCCTTTCCTAAATTGTGAATTCCTGTTACTCTGTTACCTTTGTGAACAAGAAGCAACACGTGCATAGGCATTTGGAGTATTTGCTCATTCATTGACCTGTTCTAGATAGGCATACATCAGTGCAAGCATACATCCATGTGCTACTCATTCTTACCACAAATAAGGATACCTCTGCAGCTTCAGAATTAGTTAGTATCTATGTGTCACCTCAGCAGCCTGGATATCAAATGAGGACAAAAAGGAATCATCAGGCAATCAAAACAAAAGAATGACACCTCTGCAGCTTCAGAATTAATTAGTATCAATTATAGAAAGACACTGAGCATCATGCCTACCTTTTGTTCTAGATGATATGACCCTTTTTGACTATATATATGCTAGCTAGCTTTTGCCAGTCTCAAACAGCATTAAGCATTCAGGCAGTCACATGCATATTTTCTCTAGAAGTTGTGGAGCATTAATGTTTCCTTATCTTTTGATACATATACTTGTAGTTTAATTTTCTCCTGTTACCAAATGAGCAATGAAAAACTAGCAAAGTACAACAACTAATTATATGAGTAAATCATCATCCAACCTAATAGCTACAAATTACATGTAAGCAACCCATCATGTTTAATTAAATATAGGTAGACATGTCATCATGCTTAATTAGTACTACTTAATTTGTTTCTCTCCAATAGCAAGTAGAGAGCCTACACTGGAATAGGGGTTCTCTCCTCAAAAAAATGATGCAGCCCCCATTAGAAAAGAGAAACAACTAATTAAGCACCCTCCAATTAAACTTCACTTTACCTTCTTTCCATGAGAATTTGATTGATTAAAGAGGGGCTAGTCCAGTTCATCCAAAAACAGTGGAGCTCAAAGAAAGGAAGGCACGAATAATCTAAAACAGAGAAGAGACAGAGCTACCATCTTTGGCTGGATCGAAGAAGATAACCTTGTGTTTTCTCCTCAGGAGCCTTGTGCTACTTCTCTTCTTCTTTGATAGAAAGCCCATTCCCGTCCAGCTTCTTCTAATCTCCCTCATCAGCAGTTCCTTTCCAGCATCCCATTGTCCAGAGTTGAGCTAATTAAATTTCTGTCAATCTCAGAGCTTAGAAAGCATAAGCGTGCAGGCGTCTAAATAGACGGATTAGGAGGAACTTTTACAATCCAATTTTTACGCACCAATCTCCAAGAAGAAGAAATCACGGGAGAACCAGACCAAGGAGAAAACAATTACTTGGTTAGAGAGAGAGCAGACCATACGGAGGCTGGCAGTCACCGCTGTGTTCTTGTTGCTAGAGGCTTCTCCGTCAGTGCAGGGCTGGATTTTGCAGTGGCCGGCGGCGCCGGCCGCCGCAGCTCAAATTGTCATCCCCTCCGCTCTTCCACCGCGGCGGCCGCAGCCACTGTCGCCTCCTAATCGGTGCACGGGACAGAGGAGGAGGGGCGGCAACAATCTCCGCCGAGTATCACGCCGTCGAGCCCCACCACTCACCGCGCCCAGCGCCCTCCTCGTTCAAAGTAGAAACCGCTCGCAGGTGAGCACCTAATTAGCGAAGGTATCGAGGAGCGGGCTGGCTCCTCCCAGCGTCAAGGTAATCTTACATCGGTATTGATACAATTTTATATCGCTTGGAACCTTGCCAAGCTGTACCGTGGCTGGGTCGATCGAGCGGGG